CACTTCTATAAGTCGAAAGGAGACTGCGACCATACCCGAGGCCACAACATCTTGGTCTTCACATCTCCAATTTCCGAATTAGGCTGTGATATTCGAAATAAAAATCGACAAGCCTTAAGAAGTAGATAAAAGACTAGTGTAATAGAAATGAGGTTTGAACATACAGACAAGAGAAAGATGAATATGAGAAAGCGAATGTTTTTAAAAGTAATGAGTGCAGTTCATATTGTTTGTGTATATCATCTATTAATTCGCTGAGAAAATCTAAAATAAAAGCAACTTAATTTCGGGACGCACTATTAAACAAAATGAGCTCAAATGGAATGATATGGGCAAAAAATATGACTTCTAGCCTCAGAAAAGTGCACAAAAATCGTAAACTTTTTTCAGGCTGACTGAATGAGATTGAAATCTCGCTCTGATTAATTGTTCTTGCCTCGCGGTGCGTTAGCAATAGTTCTATAAGTTTCGAGGTTATTGAAAAGTGGGATGGAAGTAGGCTCAAATGAGAACCTAGCTAAATGAGCAAGCGATATTCCATTATAGTCTCAAGTGGCTCAAATGCTGCGCGAAGAGGACACTAGTATATTTTTAGTGACATTCAAGATAGAGGTATTGAGAATGCATATCAGAAAGAAATGGAGGACTCCATTCTGGCGAATCGCAGCGAGTGTTGATTTCAATTAAACGGAAGCAAAAAACAAAACCTCATGATTGGGACAAGGTTAATTTGAACACCCGTGCAGCGAATATGATTTAGATGACAGAGCGGGACCAAGCAAGAGGCTTTGTGGGAAAATGTGCTAGCACGTGTGTTTTTAGCTATAGGCAATTGACAGACTAACGCTATGGTACTCCATCCAACCCATAAGTCGATCTTACTTGCGCCAAAATGCGTACTTGTCTAACGATTCTGCCTACCTAGTCTCATTCATCTTACTCTAAAAATAGGCACTAGCCGTTGATCTCCCATGGCAGATTTCTCCTGGGAAAGGTATAAGCTTTCCGGGAGCCATTCTAAATAATGAAAAATGAGTCACCTTTGAAATGCAGGGTCAGAGCAAATACAATTTTTTACACGATTCCCACGCCGATCATTCCAATAACAAACCCAAGGTTTATGCTAGACTCAATAATGGGGCTGCTGCATGCGTGTTTTCAAGAAATCCAGACCTAGTCAGACCTAAGGTCTCGGATGGCAAGACGTGAAATACTCACGCCAAATGTTCGTGTAGCATCGACATTAATGCAATATTAAAGTGGTCAATCGGTCAACGCCTCAGCATCCAAATGTCCCGCCAACAGTAAGGTTTATCTTCATATGCAGGTGGCGAAGACTCAGTCGGCAGTTCTCGTCCGACCGATTTACCTGCCTCGGATGCGGAGCTCGTGAAGTACACGATGAGCAATTCAATGCATGGCAAGAGGGCAAAAGGAGAATAAGAAGCCGGAACATTTGCTGGTCACTGCGTGCATCTCATGCTTGACCTCAGATTCGAGCTGAGCTACGTCAACACGAACGTCAGTGAATAGGGCAACGTGACGTGACGTCACGCGTCACGTCCTGACCTCTCATTATGCCCAAACCAGTTTCGTGTAATTTATATATGGCGGAAAAGATTTATCTAAAGAACTAACTTAGCGAGTGCCTACAGCCCTTACGTAAATGGGTAAACGTAGAGGTTAGGTCAATGATGTCTATATCCTCGAGTACCGTGCATCTAGGATGAATATGAGAGCTCATCGAAATAAGAGACTGCTTCACTCACTCCTTGGCACCACAACCAGATACATGAGCCTAAATTGAAGTATGGGTTCATTTCACTGGTGATAAAAGTACGGCAATGACGATTGCCATGGTTAGATTCTTCTGTGTCCGATGCTTCCTCGTCCAATGAAAGAGTGGTGCTGACAACATTGACTAGCAAAACAAACGATGGACTGTGCCTAGATTTATCTTGAGTAATCGGTCCGCAGTACTAAGTGATTCGTTCCCTATTTTACTGTTGGTGCTTGAGGGGGTGAAAAGCTCTGTCATGAGTTGGAATTGCATGGGATCACGTGATGGTTAATGTAAAGAAAATGTGGGTTTCGAGAAATATCTTGGTTGATAATCGTTGAGCTCATCTCCATTTAGAGTGAAAGTGTGTGATGAAAAGATGCGAAAGTCGATCCACCCAGATGTCGGCGGGTTTACTTGGCCAGCCGTCAATTGGCCCTACTGGAATACTCATGAAGAAGTTATCCTCGATGTTACGTCCTTTCTTAATTACATTGATCTATTACTGCTGGTCTCGTATGTGTATGGACATATGAAGACGCCGCATAAGCACAGACACATAGACACACACTCATGACTCTAGACCTATGAGTTAAACTAACTAAATGATTTTAAAGAAGTTGTTTGACCTTGTTTTCGCAACTCGGTCATATTGGCAGTAAGACTTGGAGGAACGAATCTAGTCAGAAGTCGATTATATGCATCATCATTTCCAGAGTAGGACCGTGGATGTGGTACATTCCGAGACGTTTCACCGGCAGCGTAGTCGACATCGTCAGTGCGTCTCTCCATTAGTAGCACCATATTACAACTGGTCAAAGGGACAAGTGAAGCCCCTCTGACCAAACGTGTGCTAAACACTTTTGGTATCTCCCCTTCTGCCCTGGGCTATTCACACTTCCTATATCCTCCTATCATGCCTTCCCTGTCACAGTTTTTACCGTGCTTATTATTAATGTAGTGTGGTGTGCTCCTTCTAGCGGCAGTCATGGAAACCATTTCACACTCTACACTGTCGTTATCACCCCCTTTACCCTTGTGCTGGGAATGTTGACC